CTTGTTGAGGCCACAAGTCCCTAACTATCTCAGACTCCAACTCGGCACACACAGGGAGATCAAGTCAACCCCTGAATGGCGGAGGGTTTCTTTTTTCTGGCAGACTGCTGGTCCCATGGCTCAGTGAAAGTAGGAAAGAGGGAAGAGGGGAGAGAGAAGCATTAACTGTGCAGAAGTTCCTCTGAGATACTGGAACTGTTCCATGAGACTTTCCCACACTTCCCTAAAAGCTCTCAAACAGCTCTTCTCTAAATGCATGGAGAGAGGTGAACTTGCTGTGCCCAGCAAGAACCAAGTGGGCAACCAGTGCATTTGGTATAATCACGAGTGACCTCTAGCACTGAGCCTACAGGTTTCCTCGTAGGTGCTCGGCTGAGACACTGTATAAATCTGGCTCACTTTCCCAACGGGAAAATGCCCACGCCTAACCTTTGCGATGAACCAAGCTTGGGGGTGAGGTGGGCAGAAGGAGCATCACCACTAACCTGAACACGACTCTCGTCCAGTCAGAGCCACATTTGAACCCAGGAGCACTGTAACAAACAAGAGGACACCGTCACCACGAGAGCTCAGAGCACTCAGGGTCTGAGAGCAAATTGGGGCCTCTGGTCTCCATGCAACCCTCAGGAGCCCCAAACCAGCCTGACTTCAGTTACCTAAACGTCTGTCTGATAGCATTTATTCGGAGATCGATAATTTTTAGCAGGTCATCACGGGAGCAGCTTAGGAGTTCGGTCCTTTCTGGATTTAAGTCCAGGGCAGTAATCTTCCCCAACAGCTCCATCTCTCGGATGATAGTCTCTGACCTACCAAAGAGATGGAAAGTCTGAGAAAATGTACCACAGAAAGTCAGACTTCCCCATCTGAACCAGAATGGCATGCCATGGAACAGAGAAGGGGAAAAGGCGAGCCAACCAGAATGCAAAGCTCTTTCAGGCAGTGAATGTGTTCCCAGCCTTATAAAAATAACCACAGGGCTGCTTTTATTATCTCTCCACCAACAAACTCATGGTAATAATTTTGAGAACTAGAACTCTAAATCTGGTAAGAATTCATTTCCCTGCCCACTTTTGGAAATATACGATAGATGCCAATCAGAGATTCTGATCAGCATGAACCAACCAGGGCTCCTATCCAAATATGGAGGAAGCTGTGCTTTCTCACAGTCTCCCTGCCACACGAAGTTCAGCTCAGGGGCCCCCAACTTCTTGGTGATGCTAGATGTGAAACTGGGACTCTGGGGCAGAGTCACCACACTCTGCAAGGACCTCTTTCTTCACTTTCTAGATTCTCACCTGGGCCCAGTCCGTAGCCAGGCCTGTGAACAGAAGTCTTGATGCAGGTAAAGGAGGTGCAGACCCTTCTGCAGGCATTTTGGTGTACTAGTAAACGATCAAGGAGATGACTTCCTACCACAAACCATAACTAAGTAAGGGAGTTTTATCTTAGTGTTGGTAAGTATGAGGCTAGAGGCAAGACACTCCACTGCCTTGGAACTTGGGGCCCTCATCTCTTAAATGAGGGGCTACACCAGTAAAACTTGAAGTGATGTCTACGAACCAGGAGCATCACTCCATGCCTTTCAAAGCCTCATCTATAACCATGACTCTTCACTTCCCACTCTGTCCACAAATGCTCGACAACTGGGCTTCTGCCCCAGCTGCCATCCCTCCACTCAATTGGATCACCAACCACCTATCAAACCAGCCTCATCTAACTGGACTCCTCCTGCCATCTGACCCCGTTACCCCCTTAGTCATGGCCCATCCACGGGACTCTGGCTCTCTTGCCCTTTCTAGATCCTCCTCCTCAGAAGGCTCCCTAAGTGCTATCTTCTTACTATTTTATGTGTGTCTGAGTAATCTGTTCTCATGCCTCCAAAGTCCTCCCCTGAGGACTTCCAATCTCTTAAAAAAAACTTTGCTTTCATTTTTCCAAATGTCTATTAGAAACCACAAACAAATGTCCTTATCCGAACACATTTCCTGCACCCTCTTCCTAAAATTGTCATTTATTGTCTTGCTTTAGTTTTCTCCTTCCTCACCTTCCACATTCAACTTGTTACCAATTCCTGCCAGAATTCTCACTCAAGGAGATTCCCACCTTCTTCCTCCACTGCTTGGAGTTCATATCCTCATCAACTCTACTATTTCCCTCTAAAACTGCCACCCCACACAATCTCCTAGACTCTGGGAAGCAGTCCTTTGCTGAACACCCAATGGCTTCTAAGATCAAATCTTCTACAAAATGGCATATAAAGCCCCTGGCCATCTGGACTCAATACACAGATCAGTCTCAGCTGCCTAGAATGTCTCTCAGGGGCTTTTCTGCAATATGAAGTCTGTTCTCCTCTCAGGATGAGTCTTGAGGCATGCTCTAACATCCCTGGACAGAGGGGCTGGCTCTGTCTGCCTCAGCACTCAGGGCAAACTTGTATGTCTGTCCCACCTATTACATTTAATTACCCAACTACCCAGGTGTTTATCTCTGCTGATCATGCACAGTGTATGTTCTGTGGTTGTTGACCACAACTGTCGACTTCATGGTAAATATCAAATTGTTAAAATAAATGAAGACTGGAGCTTATCTCTGCATTCTGAGGGATTTAAAAAAACACACCCATATACAAATATTCACCGTTCTACCACGTACAGACCCTCTCACATGCCTCCCCATTCTTGAGTATCATACCGGATGTCCCAGAAACGAATTTTCTTGTCAAAATGTCCACTCATTACACACTGCTCTGTGCAAACAATATCATTGCAGCTGGATCCCGCAAACACTGTCTTTATGCCTGAAAGAAAGCAGATCAGTCATCAGGCAGAGGCTCTTCCATCGCTGTCCACATAACCTCCCTCCCTCAGACCCCAAGCCAACAGAACTCCTCATTCACATGAAGCTTCAAACATGGAAAATTGCCACCCCCTCAGCACCATTCTCACTTGCATTCAAACTGTATCACACTAAATGCAGGCTTTGATGTCTAACCCCACATATAAACAGAGAGACTGAATTTCCTCACAGACTTTGCTGCGCAGATCCCAGAGTTTGAGGGTCCGGTCATGACTTCCAGAAACAATACGCGCATTGTCCAGCAGGAACTTGGCAGAGAGCACTTTGCCACTGTGTCCCGTGAGTGTGTGCTAGGAGAGAAAAACACAGCCGGGATAAGCACACCACGAAGGAGCCAACTTCTCCAAACGCCTGATGGTTGGTCAGGAACATCAGAAGCAGAAGGACCAGTAGCGGGGGAAACACCCAAGAAACCTATCTATCTACAGGTGCTGCCCAGAGGTGAGGTGTATCAGAGGAATAGGATAAATCTGTCCACAAATAACATTAACCACCACCACCCCCTCAAACACAAACACACACACACACACACACACACACACACACACACACACACCAAAAACATCACCAGTACAAAGGTCACGTCTCATCCTCAAAACCAGTGAGGGCAACAAGAGGACTTTTTTGAAACATAGCACTGTTCTTGCACCTTTTTAAAATAAGTCTGTATTATATCAAATCACATTTTAAAAGCCTTGGGTTTAGCCAGTGCCTCTAAAAGTCAGAATAGACATTTTCTCAGAAGATACATTTACAAAAGGAAACATCAGGCCTCATTAAATAAACAATTAAAAGCCCGGGGGTTTTTCAAAGAGAGGTCTCAGCTTGAAAGTCAGATCAGAACCACAGATACCACACTCCCAGTAATCACATCCCTTCGAGACTGGCTATAGGATGCCAACCACGTGTCCTCCCTGGGCTCGCCAAGGAACACAGACCTGGGACATCACAGAGTGTCAGCTGCCCTTTTACCCATCAAAGCACTACTGGAGCCTGATGGGAGCGAGGCGGCTGGGGATGCTGAGGATGCAGGGAGGGGACCTGGGGAGTCAGCCCTTTTACTAGTCATCATTGACCTCTTTTATATTTGCAAAACCTCAAAGGCTCAGAAGGTATTCACTGATGTTTTCTAATAAAAACAAGCCTTTTTAAAAGTCCCTAGTATACTTACTCCACTGGTAATGATGGGTTTCAACCTCACTCCCAAAGATGAGACCTCAGAGTTTCGTGTAAAGTTTTCAGTGTTGAAATTTTAAGAGTCCCATCTTTCTGCTATACTGAGTGGAGCAACTGCATTTAGTACAGGAACAGAAACGTAGGACAAGCGTACTTCTCCCTGTCTAAGAAGTCTGCTCGGCTTCTCACTCACACCCCTCACCCTGACACCTCTCTGAAACTGGGACTGATCTTACAAGTGTGCCAGCAGGTGGTGGCTGGGCTGCCGCAGTGTAAAAAGCTGCCACCGATCCTGTTGGTGAAAGCAACTCCAGCACCAAAGCTTACATTCCAGACAGTACAACTCATCCAAGTCACGGGAGACAGAAACCTGGTAGGTACTTCTCATGCAACGTAAATTAAGTTCTTAGTTCTGTGCATTTGCACTTTCTGTAATCACACCTCACCAACACAGGGAGGAAACGACTTCGCTCATGAATGGGCTATGTGAATGCACATAGTCTTTCACGTTTCTGTGTATTTCATGTTATTTTTTAACATTATAGTATAAGCAGTCTTTCATGTGATAGCTAAAAACACATGGGCCTGGGGTCACACTGATGTTGCTCTACACAGCCTGGAACTCTAACTTAAACTGAGGAAGACAAATCTCTTCCTCATGCTCGTTTAGCAGCATGAAGTAGGCACATGTGGACAGCACTAACTTTCTTTTTGCACCCTCACACTTAAGTCTTAATACTTTAATTGCTGAATAATTTGTGTGTGGTGATGTGACAATTTAGCTGAAATTTCCTTGGCCAGCAGACACTTAAGTTACTTTCAAAGTTTCATGATAACAAATGATGCTGCAATGAACACTATGAGCACACAACTTGACGTATTTCCTGGAATGAACTATGGACTAATGGAATAAAGAAAAGGAATGTTTTTATTGCTTTGCCCTTCATAGATATTAGATTGCTTTTAAAAAAGTCTGGACTTCTGCTAATCTTGCTCTTGGTGGAACCCAGATGGATCTGCCTGAGGCTGACTAGCTCCATTTCCACGTTATCAGCAGCAAGGAATTGAACCTCCTATAAGCACTCAATGTTATCATTTAAAAAGTGCTTATTTTAAGTGGATCAGATTTATTAAAAATTATTTCATTCACTCAGTTTTTTATATTTACCTATAATATTTAATTTTAATACTACTTTTAAGTTTTTCCTAGTCTTTTCAACAAAGACTCACTAGACATGCCACAGTGGGTTCAGCTGTCACAGCAGCCCGAGCCCCACATGGGAGGGAGGTTTGACATTCTTCTCTAGCATTCTCCCCAGACTCCTGTGTTCAGGGGTAGATCCTGAGTGCTGCCCATCATGCAAGCAGCTGCCGTTAAAACAACTGATGCCAGAGAAATGCAGAACTTGATGAGGAAGTTTCTGAAATAATAACCATCACCTGAAAGCCAGTCCTGCCTCTGGCCACCTCTCCACATCACTGTCAGAACACTGAACAGAGTGGGTTTTTAATCCAGTTCCCCAAGTCACGTCTCAGAGAGCAGCTGGGCCAGGTGACACTGACTTTAGACTTTTAAGGGAGTCTAACACACCTGGTATTGAAGGAATCCTGTCATGGGCCCCTTTCAATGCCAGGCTGTTTCGAGGGTCCCTTTACTAAAAGGGTTTTAAAGCAAGCACTCACCCAGCTGCTCCTTGCACCTAGTCTATCTCAACACCATTCACTTATCATCAAAGGAGACACTGACCAGGGCTTGGACCCGAGTTTTAGATCATAGGTGTCCATTCATGCCTTCCAACATCCTCTGTAACAGGGTCTCAGTGGGAGCCACAGCCCCTACAACAGGAAGCCCACTTAGTTCTGGACCTTGGTAAGAGTGTGATGTGTGAAAAAGGCCTCTTGGATCTCTTCCCACATTTCCTGAGGGACAGGACATAGCTGTGAGCAGATCTGAGGCCACAGAGCCAGCTATCCAGAGAAGAGTCAATGGCCTCAACATGAGCACAGCTTGCCAGCACCCTGTCTGATAAAACCTCTGCAAACTGCCGAAACCGGTTTGGCTCAGTGGATAGAGCGTTGGTCTGCGGACTGAAAGGTCCCAAGTTGGATTCCAGTCAAGGGCATGTACCTTGGTTGCGGGCACATCCCCAGTAGGGGGTGTGCAGGAGGCAGCCAGTTGATGTCTCTCATCGATGTCTCTAGCTCTCTATACCTCTCCCTTCCTCTCTGTAAAAAATCAGTAAAATGTATTTAAAAAAAACACACAAAACCTCTGCAAACTAGCGCACTTGAGACAAGTTTCACAACAGTATGACCTCTATCTTCCAGAACTACCTCACCTCCAGGTCCCCTTCCTCTTATGTCAGACCCAACGGTGATGCCCACCTGTACAGAACTCTACCAATGAAAAATATTATACATCCTGCACAACTGATTGACTCAACTGGTTGCCTGGGTCCTCCCTCCAAGAGCCACAAAGGTAAAGAAACCTGTATGTCCCTCAATTCAACACTTGAGCCATTTCCCAGTCTAGAATACTGGCGATCCAGGCCAATCCAATACAGGAAAGAGCACAGGCCTCAATTCCAATTCTCACCTGTTTGTTAACTATGTGACCTCGGGCAAATTGGAGCCTCAGTCCCCTCATCTAATTACATTAGCTGCCTTCCTGGGGACTATAGCAGTAATGCACACAACACCCTCAGTACTGGGTCTAATACACAGAGGCTGCTCAAGAAAAGCCACCTCGTTTTAGATAAGTTAATGACTGCAGACACATACAACTCTTACACGGCAGTTACACAGAGCATGGCAGACCACAGGACGAATTAAAAAACTGCTACAAGAACAGGTTAGGCATCTTTTCCATGTTTAGCGTGAACTATCACGCTATAGCTGGAAACTCGTTCAAATATTTGAACAGACGTGAACTGTTGCTTGAGGCGAGCCTTGCCCTGCCTGTGGGTGCCAGCAGTCCACTTCCACTCCTTCACTCAGACAAGAACCCAGGCAGGCTCTTCAGCTTTCAGAGGACATCATCTGTCATCTTCAAGCCTCAGACTTTATATGTATAGCCCTGGATCTTCTTTCAACTAAGAGTAAAAGAATTACCACTGTGATCATTTTCCACAGCACCTTCAAGAAAATGGAAAGCCTAAGGGATCCACTCACTGTGTTTCTAACAATTCTTCTAGTTTTACTCCTGTGTCACCAAAACAAACCACCATACACCACTTCCCTGCATTTACCTTTAGTAAGTTCATCTTAACATCATGCTGTTTTCTGTGTGGGCTGACACACAGAACTGCTGTCAAAGTTTTTTGATAAAATTCCTACCAATGTCAAGTTCACCCTCCATCTTAGCTTTCAGTAGCCCTTATTTCATGAGCTCGTGTGAAGACTCCTTCAAGCTTAAGGAGAAAAACCAATCTCCAAATCAAGTGATGTGTTTTTCATTAGAACAAAGGCAATATAACCCTCACGTTTTGGTCTTTATCTTGGAATCCATAGGACTTCTCAGCAAGTCTGGGTTCAGATATAGGCTTCCTCCACATCTGATCCCATGACACCCCGTTCCCCTTCCATCTGACTCTTAGCATCAGTTGTTTTCTCTCAATCACAGCGAATCCATATGTATGTCTATATCCTACTTTCCAGGTATACCATGGGAGATAATTACTAAGTCAATTTATATGCTGTCATCAAGATCACTTAAGTTAAGCTAAGACTGGTATCTATGAAATACCTCCTCTTATTAAAAGTAATGTCCCGAGTCTTTCATAGAAAAGTGAAGGTTTCCTATTGCAGATTAAATGGACCTGCTATTGCCTAACATTGCTGTGCCTTGATAACCATGAGAAGTTAGGAGTTTATACTAATTTTCCTAACTGGGTCTTACCCGTAACCGATAATCATCCACGGTCCAGATTCGGCTTGCAAAATCATTTGAAGCGGCTAAGAGGTAAGATCCCTATTGAAATAAAGGGGGAGGGAAGGTGAGACACATATTTCAGCCAAAATAGAGGAATTCAGTTCAAACAATACAAACTCCCCAATAATCAAGTCCAAGAGGTTTAGATGTCTAAAACTATACACCTGATCCAAATACCAACTATTAGCACCAGTATCTGTCAATTCACCCACCCCATTACGTTCAGACCTTTCTCTTAAGCTGACTCAATCTTGCCTGAAGGCTGAAGACCCTCCAGCTCAAAATGGAACTTGGCCTCCTGCATTCATTTCCCTCCCACCTTCAAGTCACAGCAAATACTAATTCTCTGCACACTGCTTCAGCCAGAAAGCCCACAGAAACTGACTCTGCCCTGTCTCACCTCCCAGCTACCCCCTCAGAGATCTGCTCATCTCTGACACAGGTCTAGCTGGATGCTCTCCTCTCCACCCACAACACCTTAGCCCAAACTGGGACCTTTATCAAGTCTGCAGAGATCAGCTGGGTTAATGCAGACCTACCTCCCCAGCCCAGTCACGATCAGAACGGAATTTGTAATCTACCTGAATCTTTTTTTAACACTGATTTTACTCAAGATAAATAGTGGACAAACCAGGTGAGTTATTTTTAATTTTGAAAACCAGATGTCTTATTTCTAAACATCTCTTAATGCACCTATTTCCCCAGTTGTTAGATACTTACAGCACTATCAAATTCAATGCTTGTAATTCCTGCGTTACTGCCAGAGAGGGAACCCTTGAACTCACACTTGTCTGGATAAAAAGAAAGGTGGAGGAAAGATAAAAAGGTAAAGCCATTATGTAAGTTAAAATGGGGCATCTGAAACATTGGAAGCCAACTACAATATATTTTCAAAACAGCATTCCTGCACCATCACAGAATCAACCAGCAAGACAGACAGAATATAGGATCAAAATATACTGTTGTCAGTTTCTAAGAGCAATGAAGGTATATGGGGATGCAGAGCCCAGCATTTTGCATGTGTGTTAAGCTGTTCTTTTAGAGAAATTTAGTATATATAATGTACAGTGTACTTCTCTTGAGTATCTCATTTATTTGATATAAAAGATACTGTAAATCGTACACCTGATCAGTTTTCCCCTTTGCACTGGCTGATAGAAAGCTCAGGCCAAATAGGTGGTTGTTTCCAGCAAAGTCTAGAATACTTTTGGTACCTATTTGAGATGCAAATACACTGAGTGGCTAGATTATTATGCATTCAGAGATCATAATAATCTGGCCACTCAGTGTATACAGACCATGCCAATTTACTTAGAGACTGAGTTTCATTTAGTTATTTCTCAGTAAAATTTTCTAACTTATTGATCATAAATACATCTTTGGGTTTGATATGTGTTTGGACCAACCTAACTACCAATTCTGGACCATCAACTTTTCAGAATCCAGGTGTGATAATTCTCAGGAATGTCTGAAAAGTTTTTGCTTTAGTTAGGTGTAAATGGCTAGTCATTAGAATGCCAGTTAGAGAGTTTGAAGTTTCTGGAGTGTGTTCTTGCACTTACTGTATGCTGGCCCCATACATGTAAATTTCAGTTATGCAGACATAAGCTTACAGGATTACAAGTCTTGATGATGATGTGATTACATTCCTTTTTTAAAGGGTAGTTTAAAAGGGTAGTTTCCTATATAGACAATCTAGGAAAACAATTAGGGAACTATTCTAAATCAAGTTCATAAAAAGGGAGCATGGGATAGGAAACATTTCATTGTTACCTTTTACTCAGCACTTCTAAATAATAGCAATATGAATACTGGTTTGGAGCTGTCAAACATATTTAGGGCTGGGATCATTAACCTGGTCTATGAACACCTCTATATTTACTTGAAAAATATAGCACATTATAAGTCTCTTCTTAAATCTTAGCTTTCATTAGATTTTCCAAAGTAAAAAAGGGCCATCATCTGCTAATTAAGGTCTTTATTTAGATTACATCTTTACAGACCAAATTATTACTGCAAATTCTAAGAAACAGCTCTCTGACTTATGTCCAAAATATTATTGTTTGGCAGCCAAAATGCAAGAAGTGATCGATAAATGCTATTCCACAGAAGAGATTGATCTCAAAAGATCAAACACCTTGTTAAAAGTAAAAAGCTCTTTTATCTAAGAAGGCAGCAGGGGAGGCTATATTAAAACTGTTTATAGAAGTAATTACCAATGGAGCCACTGCTGTGATAGAAAGAGCAAGGATGGGTGTTCCTCCCGGGTGAAAGTGCCCCTCTTCTGACATTTTAAGAGAAAAACAGGACACCCCGAACTACTTCATAAACAGTCTCTTAGACTTTGTACCTCCCAAGGTTCAGTAAATATTAGCCAAGAGGAACAAAACTGCAAACTGAACAGGCTGTTGTGGACTAATTCTAATGGGCTTCAACTAGTTGTAACTGCCAGAGATTTAACTACTGAGCCACTTTCCTAAAAATCAAATGCCGGGACAGACACGCTTGGGGCTTTGCTGACCACCTGTTCTAACCGACAGATGGACAGACTGTTCTTCTGTAACCACAGTGATCTACAGAGTTTTTCAGTAACTCTACAGCTTAGGGGAGGCTGTCATGGAGAAAACAAGAGACTCGCAGTTAGAAGACCCAACTCAGCCTCTAGGTTCCACCACCGCTTTGCCACGTAAATCATCTGTCAGTCATGTAAATCAACTATGTCAATCTGGTAGTGCCTGAGTTTTCAAATACGGGTGATACCCACCTATCTAACTGCACAGGGCCATTGTGAGAATCAAAGGAAATAACACAAAGGCCCGTTGGAACTATTAACTGCTGGACAGGAAGCATAAATATGCTGTAACTGTGGAAACTTGACAAAGTGGTTTCTACAAAAACCTTCAGCCTATTCTTTGACCTTACTTTATTAAAAGTATATGTACAGAGGAATATAAGTTATTTAAGAATTAAAGACATGTGCACACTGAAAAAAACAACAAGTATATGTACATTTAACTGAATCTTAAAATGTTGAAACTGGGCTATGTCGTAGCTTCAGCATTTTAAGAGATGATTTCATTAACTCCCATTTTCTTTTTCAATGCCATCCCATTTCTGAGTGCAACTGAGACAGTAATGATGCTCTGGTCAGACTCCTTAACACAAAATGTTTTACTTTGAGAAGATGAATAATTCAAAGGTTGCCTGAAACCAAGTCAATCAGATGTCACAGCTTCCTTCGGCACACTCTGAGACCTTACCTCCAGACGCTTCCCAAAGCTTAACCCTCCGATCCATGCCGCCCGTGGCCAGCAGCCGGGATCCAGGACTGAACTGCACAGCGTTGACTTCCCCGTCATGAGCATCCTGCAAGACAAGCACCCTTTCATACCCAATCACTGCCCTTCCCACGAAGAAAGAGTCCAATACAAGTGAGCCCCCTGAATATCTCACCAGAGAACATTCATCCCTAATGAGAAGAATCTCATCATAAAATAACTCGGGTTCCTAGCCCAGGCTTTCATAAGATTCTATCATTTTATTCTTATAGTTCCACTTATTTAAATACAGTGCAACCTTTGAGGATTCAAAATCTGTGTAAACTGCTTCAAGTTTGTTGTCATATTAATCTTATTTCTTCTAAGAATAAGAAATTTCAATCTATATTCTTGTGTGATCTTAATAGCTTTAGAGTAAGAGTATGATTACCTGCTTCCCTTTTGGTCCAGACTGCATGAATACACATCACACTATGTATCTAATTAACGTACAGATGACTTTTCGTGATAAAGCTTTTATGGCTTTCCTAACAAGGATAGTCTAACATGGAGTCCCAATATGAGCAGATGCCAGTGCTACCTAAGGCACAGCAGTGTTACAGTGAAATTCTGTGGGCACTAAAGTATATGAGCAGTGTGACTTCTGGCAAGTTCCTTAACTTCATAAGCCTCAGTTTGCTCATCTATAAAAAAAGGACTTCCAGACCTAGGACTGTGCCTGATTATAAGACCTTCAACAAAAGTTAAGAGGTGTTATTGTATTTTGGGAGAATTTAAATTCATCATAGGGAAATTACTAAGATTGGCATCCACACTGGAACACATGATATGACAAGATGGCATTTGTGGTCAGGATAATAAAAAAAACCCAAGCAAAAAGCATTTCATCCTAGAATGAGAAGAGAGAATGCTAGAAGTTGTTGCTATAATCTCTTCTCTTTAAGATCATGGATACTGAATAAAATTAATATATTATTGGATGTCAGCTTTAATTGAAACATAAAATAAAATAAAAAATTTTAAAGACTGTGGCTAGGCTGGTGTTGCTCAGTTGGTTGAGCATCAACCCATGCACCAAGAGGTTGCTGGTTTGATTCCCAATCAGGGCACATGCCTGGGTTGTGGGCTTGATCCCCAGTAAGGATTGTGTAGGGATCAGCCGACTGATGTTTCTCTCTTTCCCTTTCCCTTTCTCTCTTTCTAAAAATATCAATAAAAACATTTAAAAAATACCATGGATACTAAAATATCAATGGATAAAACAATGTCTGGGACTTTGTTCCAATAAAAATTTAAAAGAGATGCCTGAATCGGTTTGGCTCAGTGGATACAGTGTCAGCCTGCAGACTCAAGGGTACCAGGTTCGATTCCAGTCAAGGGCATGTGCCTTGGTTGCAGGCACATCTCCAGTAGGGGGTGTGCAGGAGGAAGCTGGTCGATGTTTCTCTCTCATTGATGTTTCTAACTATCTCTCCCTCTCCCTTCCTCTTTGTAAAAAAATAAAATAAAAATCAATAAAATATATTAAAAATAAAAAGAATATGCGCAGGGGAGACAGTAAAATGGACAAATGTGACTAAATGAAGCTGCCAGACAGGATGATAGTACCTCAAAGTTCTTTTTACTCTTCACTTCAATGATTAAATTTTCCACAATAAAATAAAACATGTATATATATATTAT